GTCGGAAACGGCCGAAACCTAGTGATAAATATGGCGACAAAGATGAGGACAATAGTCCGATATATATGTGAGTATTTAATTTATTTTGTTTAAATGCTATTTTTGATAGTTACGCATATTCGAGTAAATGCTCTGTTTTTTTTATTTATTTTAATTAAACTGTATTTTTTCAACAACATCTACTGGCCTGAATATTCGAGAAATCTTGTCAGAAAAATATACAGGTTCGGAAGCTCTGCACGATCATATGGAGAGAATTAACCAACAGATATCACTAAATAAGTTTTCAGTTACTTCAATGGCAAAATTTCTACTCTACTATATCCGAGATACGCCTTAAAATGGATACTAAAAAAATCTTTTTTCTTTATCCTAAAGGTTAGGGTGGAGGTGCGAGTGGTGTAGCGGTTATGGGCTTGGAAAGTGAATCTGGTTTGATGGGGTGAAAAGTGTTTCTCTTCTCTTATATAACATTGTTCAATGAAGAATAAAGAAATAAAAAGTTAATTAACATTGATAAGTGAATTTGCATGCCAGACTCTCAAGAGAGTGAACCCAATTTTAAGTTGAGGAAATTTCACCTGTAGGCTACCCACTGCCCAAGATGAACTCAACAGTAGATTGATTCTAGGAAAACAGGAATTCCTGATTAAAAGTTATTTTCTTAAACTGCTAAGTGCCCCAAATCACGTTGATTTTAAGGAAATCTTTTTCTAGAGTAAAAGATTTTCGAGAAGTAATTCTTAAACCGAAAAACTAGGCCTAGAAGAAAAACTAAGTCAAGTGACCATATTCTTTTCATAGTAGCAATAAACAAAAGCTTGTCAGGATAAGATTAATAATTTGATTTCGCTGATTCATCTTATCAAATTAGGACAGCAAAATGCATGAAAAAATGTAGCTATTTTGAGTTATTGGTGATAAGATTTAGAGTGAAAGACCCGAGTTTGTGATTTGGATTAGGAGAAAGATCTTTTCATGTTAGTTTTGCGAGCTGGCAGACATAGCTGTCGTTTCCCCAATCACGTGACCATATTAGAACGAACACAGATTGGAACCAGTTCTTTTTTCTTCCAGAGCACCATTAACAAAACTTCCAGAATTCTGAACACTTGACGAGGCCAATCAAATACTGGGGAGGAAAAACATAGTTTGTAGAAAAGATGAATAGTTTGCCGTTTTTTTAGCAAAATATATTTCAATCTTTTTGTTCTAATTCCAACACCGAAAATCTATCCTAACCCTAACCAAGCTCGAAATTACCTATGTTTCAACTACTCAACGGAAGACGTCTTCAGGATCAAAGTAGCTCTACGTTATCCCCGATAATTCAAGCAGGAATAACATGGACCAATGTCAAAAGTAACGACCATTCAGAATAGCAATAAAAAAGCGTATGACGACCAGTAGGTGGCGCATGTGAGGATAGTGTCCCAGTTGTTACACCTCTGACGAATGTTTTGGCCTTGAGTGGCCAGATCTGTTTCGACCAATAGATTCATTTGTATTTTATGGATTATCAATCATATTCAGATTATTTAAGGACAGAAAATATTTTTAGATTATAATTTTTTTCTCGGTAATAATAATTTACTGATACAAGTCTTACTAATTAACACATAGCTGGGGGAGAAGAGGTGGATTCATAATCATAATTCTTAAGTTAATGATTGAATAAGCTCTTTACAAGTTCTACAACTATAAAATACCTGTGGAATTTCCTCTTTTGCAGCGTTAAATATTTGAGCTTAACAGCTTAACAAAATATTGGAATAAAAATCATAATTATGAATACAGGGCATTATTCAAATAAGAAAGAGGATACAAATGAAAAGATTTAAAATTGACAAATTTTTCCATTTCACTGAAGGAAACGTTAAACATATGAGAGTGTTATCACCTCTTACATCGTCTCTCTCTTTCTCTCCTTTCTTTATTTTTCTTACTGAAACAAAACAGCGTCTCTCATATGTCTTTTCTGCCTTTCCTCGCGATCAAAACGAAATGACGTATTGACAGGGCGTCACATCCGTGCTAACTGACTAAGAAGCTAAGGGATACGCAGAATTATAACATAATAATATACTGGCACTGATTCTCTAATTGTTGGGGAGGTTGAATGTGCGGCATACTGGCATACCTTGGACAACATGTCGCGCATTAAATCTCCCACGCAAAATGGGAACATAACTCATCACCTGTAGTACAGAAGGATGAGTTTACATTCCTCTGGAATTTCGGCTTTCAGACTGATGGGGAAATATAGGCAAATCGACCAGATATAATTATGAAAAATCATGTTGAAAATAAATGTTTCCTGATAGATGTTGCGACGCAAACTGACAAAACCACATATTTGAAAACCCTTGAGAAACTAAGTAAATACAAGGACATTGAGATATAAATCTGTAGAGCGGGGTATGGGAAAACAACATTATGCATTGTTTATCTCGTTTATAGCGTATTTCAAAGTTTAAATCCATTGAGGATGATAACTTTAAAGTACAACATATTCGCCTTTGCTTACTGCTTGAGTTCTGAAAGATTAGTAGTTCTGCAGAGGCATTCTAAATCATTTGTGTCGTGCGTAAAGACGCTCCGAAGGGTTGGACAATCAGATGTAGTTAAAAAGAGATTGTGACATATACGACAATTTTCGCCTTGGAAGACGACCCACTTTGAATGAAGAAATTTTATAGAAGACTGCTGAATTGGATCAACGTTAAAGCAACAGAGATTTGGCGCAACCCCCTCCCCTAAAAAAAAAAAAAAAAACTTAAATTCAACTATCTATGAACATCCCAAGCGAGTTGGGAAAACTTGAAAATATGAATTTGTTGTTCCTCAGGAGTTTTCGTTTAAAAACTAAACACAACGTTCCACCCGCAGCAGCGGTCTTTCAACCAGGAATGCCAACCTTTCATTTTTGCTTCGCATTGTTACAGGTGCTGAAAAATGGGTTTGGCATGTCAAGAGAAAACGAGAAAGGCACTGGTTATTACACAATGGAAAACCAGTACCAAAACTAAAAGTAGGATTCCATCCAAAGAATACATTGTTTTGTATCTGATGGAATATAAAAGGTGTCATTCATTACGAGCTCCTGGAACATAGAAGGACAAGTGTTTATTGTCAGAAACCTGATCGGGTAAACGAAGCATCATGTGGAAAGTATCCTGCTATGTTAAACAGAAAAGGTATTATTCTCCAGTATGACAATGCAAGGAAACACTCACTGGATTAAACACTTTCAGATTTTTCGTCCTGGGTATGATAATAAACAACATTTAGCAGCAAGGCCTCTGATCGGGAGATTGGGTTTTTTGAGGAGCCTGGAACCACTTCTTAATTGCTGTTGTTCCCAGGTTCACCCTTACCCGTGGTGGTAGCATATTTTAGGATGTTCCAGTTATGGGCAAATAGTGAAACTCCAAACTGGGATCCAATCACTATGAAAGCATAAAAATACATTTTATAGAAAAAATAGCACCAATAGATTTTAATAGTAGAAAAAAATATTTCCAGAAATAGATTTTAATAATAAAAAAATTCCAGCACTAGATTTTAATGGTAAAAAAATAAAAATTTCCAGCAGTAAATTTTAATAGTAATAAAATTCCAGCACTAGATTTTAATAGTAAATTTTTTTTCCAGCACTAGATTTTAATAGTAAAAGAACGAGATTTCCATCACTAGATTTTAATAGTAATATAATTTCAAGCAATAGGTTTTAATAGTAAAAAAAAAAAGAAGAAATTACAAAAGTTTCCAAGATAATTAATTTTCAGCATTAAATGACCCATAGAGTTGATATGCCGTTAAAGAGACTAAACAAACCAAACTAAATTCTCAGATTTTCATTGTTTCTATCACTAGAACATTTCCTAAGTGGCAGAATATTAAAAAACAAAGCAAAAGTTGTTATTTTCAATCACTTTTTTTCGGGGAAAAACTCAGATTTATTCAAACGAGGAATTGCAAATTTGCCTCCCCGTTTCACTGAAGTTGTTGAAAATGAACGTGATTACGTTATATTTGGTTTTATATCCTTTCTTCTAAAGGTAATTGCTTTCTGAAAAGGCTAATATTTGCTTAGTTCTCCCATTGGTTTCAGAGAGTTACATTCTATTGATATTTTTTGTAGTTGAAACGTATTACCTGGCACGGAATTTGATGTTTTATGTTTAACTGAACTCGGACTGCAACTGAACAAGAGGAAACTTGCAATCATTCGATTTCAGTCACCGGAAGTTGCATATCATTTTGACTTGGTGAAACCATCGCCAAAGAATAACTACGGATGAATGGAAAGCATAAATTCAATAAACAAAGGCAGCACTTTGCAAACGAATACCACTGAAGGCAGCAACTTGTTCAACATTAAAACAAGCACTGAAACATGAATAACTCATTGAATAGCCGTTGGAAAACATATTTACAAGAGTTTCCTTTTTTGTCGAGTTTTTGCTGATGATGTTTTGGATTAAACATTGTTATCAGTTGTAAGAAGATAATAAACAACAACAACAACAACAATTAGAGTGTGCTAAAATATTATCAGCCATACCTTCTAAATCCTTATGTAAGATTCAGGTTTTGAGAAATGGGTTAAGCCGAGAAGTTTTCAGAACTTACTCATAAATAACAAATATTACATATTAAATTAAATTAAATAACAGGTAGGTTTGAATGCGTTTCTCTTATTTCTTGAATTTATGCTTTCTATCCACCCGTAATTATTTTTCGACAAACGATTCATAAAGTCAAAATGATCTGCAACTAAAGAGAAATGTTGCCGAGAACTTAACTGGATGCCCGAATTTTTATGCACCCAAGAGCACTTTTTGTTTTCAGAGAGTACGAGAAAGAATGAAAACGTTTATTTATATGTGAAAGATAGCTCATGTTAGAGCATGTGAAGTAGCAGTCGATAGACGTGTCGATAGCAGGCGGTAAGGAAGAAAGTATTGAAGGGTAAGAGTTGCTTTTTTATGCTGAAGTTAAATCGGTAGATGCATAGATACACTCGGAAATAGAAGTTGGGTGAGACAGATAAGAATGTGTTGGAATGGAGTCAGAAGTCCGCCATAAAAGAAAGAAAGAAAGAAGGTTATAATGAGAGAGAGAGTGAGAGAGAGAGAGGAAGAAGAGGGGTCTTATTCATTTCTGCAGTATCAACAGACTGCAAAAGGAAGAAACAAAGAACACCAGAACGCACGCACACACGCATCCACTAAACAGATAAGACAAGAATATAACTCGATAGAGAAAGAGAGAGAGAGAGAGAGAGAGAGAGAGTAGGAGGTATAATTAGAAAAGTGGTAGAAGTTAACCAGAGAGAAAAAAAAGGAAAGAAAGAGAGAATAAAATATTGTGAGAAAGCAACTACAAAAAAGGATGAAAGCAGAAGAAAAAAAAAAGCGTAGAAATGAATGGGGGGGGAGTTAGAAGTAAAAATAAGAATAAAACAGAGAAACAAAGGCGACAAATCAAATAAGAAAATATAGAAAGAAAATGGAAATAGATAATGAATAAAAAGAAAGAAGAATAAGAAGAAATTATATGTCTATTTCTTTCTAGTTGAAGTACCTATCTTCGCCGGGCAAGGTGTCAAAACTTGGATCGTAGCTGTTTATAATGAGACTAAACTGATTCCTTTGTACTAAAAAAATTGTAAGTGGTGGAAGTTAGCCAGAGAGAGAAAAAAATAAAGAAAGAAAGAAAGAGAGAATAAAATATTGCGAGAAAGCATAGAACTACAAAAAAAAAAAGGACGAAAGCAGAAGAAAAAAAGCGTAGAGATGAATAGGAGGGGGTTAGAAGTAAAAATAAGAATTAGAATAAAGTTATTCAAAACTTCTTCTTTTTATGCGCCATGTCCTTTCAGGACGTAGGCGATCATGGCTTCCCACCTCCCTCTATCCCTTGAAGCTCTCAACAAGTTCGTTCCCCCCTGTCACCTCCTCCAGACCACATTCTGTCATCCACTTACTTAAGCCCGCTAGATATGTCATGTGTTGCTTTCCTTTGTCTCTCTTTCCTTCTATTCGACCCGTGAATATCAGATTCTCCAGGCCCTCCATCCTCATTATGTGTCCCAGAAACTTCAGCTGCCTCTTCCTGATGTTAAATATAAGCCTCCTCCTTGTTTGCATTCTCTCTAAGACTTCATCGTTGCTCACACGCTCGGACCATGATATCCTTAGCATCCTTCTGTAGAACCACATCTCCGTCGCCTTGAGTCTTTTCTTTATCTTTAGGTGAGATAATAAAGTTTTACAGATACAAATCCTAATAACTAACCCATAAGTGGGGCGAGAAGGGTATTTGCGCCAAAGTGAATATAACCAACCCGACTAGAATTGGAACTCGAGTCTTCGAGTTCAAATTCCGAACCGTTGTCCATTACACCACCCGCGCGTCCGCGCTTATTGCACCTGGCATTCCTATCTCGGCACTGACCAAGCTCGACGTTGGTAAAATTCGGTGATCGTACGAGAAGTATCTTTTTCAATATGATATGGCCATAAGCCAAAAAAGAAAGCGATAAAGGGTATATATATATATATATATATATATATATATATATGTGAGAGTCACAGAAAGTGATAGATAGAAGGGAAGAGGGAGAGAGAGAGAGAAAGAGATTGCGGGGAAGAGAGAGAGAGAGAGTGGGTGTGTGTGGGAGAGATTAATAGAGAGAGAGCGATGGCAAAGAGAAGAGTACGATCCATACGCCTAGAATAGATAGTTGTAGGTTGATTTACCAACAGAATAAACAAAGAGCAATATCGTTTCGCCTGTATCAGTACAAAACAAGAATACATAGTATTATCAGTGATTCTACCAGTGATTGACTTAGCATATGCTGCTTCGTTTGACATATGTGCAACTTGTAAACATTCAGTGACACTAGTAAAGTGTTCCTCGTTGGTTTCATTTTAGAAAAGTCTTGGTTTTAACCTTTTTGACTGTCCTCATCACAAACATGAGAAATGCAACTTTGTGCAATAAATCAGATGTAGTGTTTGTGAAGAAAAACTTGTAAAAATCAGATATAAATTAAGATTATTCCCCGTCGTACGAAAACTGTCTTCATAAGAATGAACTGATGTATGAAAAAAAGAAAAAAATGTTTGTAAAACACCTTTGGATTTATACTATATTTGCTTTCTTCTTTTACTTTCTTTTTTTGTAGACGAATTGAATAATTTTGCAAGGCAAACATTTTTATTCCTTCAGTCTTCAACAAACTAAATTATTTAATCCAACAAATATTTTTAATGCCAAGATAAATATATCTAGTTTCACAGACTTTGTTAAGTTCGAAAATGACACAGTATTTATACATGGCATTTCTTATTTTAATTTAAGATGAAATGCAGACATGTGTGAAAATAATTGAATAACTTATTCTACTTTAAATTTTCAATTGAATATATATATATATATATATATATATATATAGATAGATAGTAGGGGGAAAGAAATATTCGTACACCATGAACTTTTTATTTAACATACATTTTATAAAAGCATTTTATAATCCATACACTATTTGTATGCCATGGCATAATGCTGCAATAGGCATAAAAAAAATCAGAAAAATTTGTTATATTAATGAAATTATATGAAATTAAAAAATTTGGAGGTGAAAAAAGTATTCGTACAACATCATAATATCTATTTAATACTTTGTACCATATCCCTTAGTCAATTCAACAGCAATCAGTCTCTTTCTGTAGCTTTTAATCAATGATTTGCATGTTCCCGTTGTTATTTTACTTCATTCTTCTTTGAATATTCTCTTTAGGACCAGTATGTTTTCCGGAGCTCTTTTATTAATTTGAATCTTGTCAATCGTGTCAGTCAGCTGTTGGCTCTTACGCTGGCCAATAGAATCTTCCTGTCTATTCGTGACAGCCAACTATAGGCTCTCACTCTGGCCAGTAGAAAATGGCCGCAAAATACATGAAAACTGCCATAGAAGCATGAAAAAATTCGATTATTTCCACTATCGATGGGAGTTGGGAAATGCAAAGTCGGTCTTGGGCTTCCCGCTAACTTGGAGCATGTGCATGTACATTTTGGTGCAAATCCGTCGAAAATTGCGGTCGTGCATTCGTTACACACACACACACACACACACACACACACACACACACACACACACACACACACACACACACACACACACACACACACACACACACACACACATCTTGCCTTTTATAGATAGAGATATAATATATAATATATAAATACATAAAATAAAAAGTAAGCAAAGCAAAGGACATGATTCTAAATACCCTAAAGTAAACAAAAGAAGTGGTAAAGGCCATTTTCCTCCTTCCTTCGCATCTCTTACTCCCACAGTCGGCTATATACATAGACACCGCAAAAGAAGTTGTGAGAAATTATCTGAAGATAGCTTGAGGTGTGAAATTAATTGGCAATCACCATGCAATGTAGACAAAAGAATCGCCTTGATTCTTATGTCAACACTTTCTCTGTCTGCACCCACTCTATCTGAAGAAAACGAGTGATTTTTGTAAAATTAATTAAATGTTTGCCAGGGGTCATTAGCAATATTAACTATATGAATTTTTTTTTTTAATCAATTCACCCCAAGTAAGGTGATAATACAACTAAGACGCAAGAAAAATGAAAGAGACTTGAGAAGGAACCAGAAACCCTATCCTAAACAGGAAACAAGGTATAAGCCTCTACCAGGAAGGTTAGATAGAACTTTGTTACGCTTTGTCTGTGCATTGAATATTAACTATATAAAAAGTGCGTATAACTTTATTAAGGCGAAATTAGTCTGTGCATTGAATTTCTTTAAAAAAGTAGTGAACAGTGTGAAAATCAATAGTGAATCTTGGTTTTCTTTGAATGGTCCCACCTGAAGGTTTTTATGAACTTGAATTGTCTCGTCGCACAGGAAGTAATCTCTTACAAAGTACGTTGGGGGAGTGAATTAAAGTGATTTTTGGTTGAAAGTAAAGAGAGAATTACGGAAGCCTGTACAGTACATGAACATAAGATAAGCAACCCTAAAGAATTCTGTGACATCATGTTTTTTCCTTTTCTTCTATCATCTCCCTTTCTCTTCCTGAATTAAAAATCTGAAAGGCTTCTAAAGCACTTGTATTTTTATGTTTGTAAAATCTGTTCCTAGCCACCGCTTTGGTAGACTACTTATCGTTATAATAAAGTACTATATGTCTACTTCAGTTGATGGTTACGGTATTTTAGCGCTAAAACCTATTCAGCTGGTATTAAGGAAACATTGTCTAACTTTTCTGAGTCCTCAGACAGTTTTCTACAATGTAATTAGAGTTTTAATTTTTATTATTAAACGAGAGCATTTACTAAAATCAGGAAAATAATGAGGAGAATGCTGGTTCATTGAGAAAAGTTTTTACGAGATCTCTTGTGAAAACGAACAGATACGCTTCGTATTCAAACTCAATGAATACATTATAATAATAAAGGAGGTACTGAAAAGTTCTCGGCCCGACCAAGAAGGACCCCCCAAATTTTGTTCATTTGGTTAGATTTGAGTAAATGGGCCGAGGCGAGAACTTTTCAGCATTAAGCGTAATAATAACGCAAGATTATACAAAACCGCATGTTTAAAAACAACGAAAGAAAGATTTCCAGGGCTAAAGGAGGCTGGTGTAAGAGAGAGAGATATACACATATACACTCACTTGAATGCACACACGCAAATATAACTTTTATTGACTGGAAGTGGAAATGGTGCTTATATATCAAAGTACAATTTCGGTTAAGATGTGTGTTTACCGACGAGAAACATGATCTCAGGCAGGAGGCGATGTTTTAAATCTGGGTCATTAGAAAATAGAATGAAAAAATGATCTAAATAAAATTTATCGGTTAAAAATAGAAATAGAGCTTAGTCGGGCTATGAGATATTTGGTTTTGTTCAACAGTATTTGTTTTGATTAAAAGGTTGAATCAATGTTTAGATATCTTAAAGTATACTTTTGGGGAAGCGAGAAGAACACGTGGTAAATAATTGGAGAATCGGTTTACATGTCAAGGGATAGTTTTTGGCACTCATGATAATCGTGTGCCGGGCCAAGGGTCGATTCATAATCAAACAGATTTATCTATATAAACCAGCGTAGTTATGCTGAAGAGGAGGCAGACGGTCGAGCGAGACGGAAGAAGCAGACGGTCGAGCGAGACGGAAGAGGCCAGACGGGAGAGAGAGACGAGAGAGACCGCGATCGGTCGGCACATCGTCGTCACGTGCGTAAACACCCGCAGGCGACCATTACGGGTCGCGGTGCTACAAAAAGACGGTTGAGAGACTCGGAGAACGAGACCGTCGTCGAGAGAGTCACGAGAAATTTGCGGGAGAATTAGAGAAGGAAGACTGTCCCCTGTTCTGAGAAGTCTGTATGAGACTGGACTACTAGTCATAAACCTACCCCAGGCAATTCAATACGCGTTTATTACACACAAACCCTCTCTCTGTTGGGAATTCGCTGGATGCATTGTGTCTTTTTCTTTTTCTTTTCTCATTTATGTTAAATGTTTTTATTCTCCCTGTAACCTCTGTTCTGATGTTATCTTCTTATATAAAAGACGTCAATATTTCCCCCATTGTTGTCTGGCTTCTGCAGATATTATTTCTTGTTTTATTTTGCCACATTCTAAACTTCCTACCGCCAACTCTCACAGCCGTGTCCACACCCCCAGTCGACCGTGAACGTATGGACAACACCCCGCTTACTGGATCTAAAAACTAACATAGCGTAGGCAGCGAGCAGGACTTGACCAGTTGACCGGTCGAAATAATCTACGGGTACTCAGGGAGCGCACGGCCAGTTACCCCTAAGTTCGGTTCGGACCGAGTGGTCACCTCAACCCAAAGAGGAAGACGCCGGAGGTTGAGGGGCTGGGGACGAAAAAGAAAAAAAAAATTATCCCGAAACATTAAAAGAAATGCAACTAGATTGGCTGAAAAAATTTAGAAAAAATCCCCTGAATATTAAAAATGTAGAAAACAAGAAATTACAATTCTTTACATCATTCGGACTGTTGTCCTCATCTTTATTGCCATGTTCACGACGTTTCGGCCATTGTACATTCCGGCCTTCTTCAGGTGATTGGAATTTCAAACTGAACCCTTTATTTCATCCACGAGGGTAGTTTGTTCTAGTTCCACATGCCATGCCTCTTCCGGATGTCTGATTTACCTCCCTTTTACCTCAACTCTCCAAATGTTTTGTTCACCACTGCCGTAGCCAGGTATTGAATTCCCAACTCTTTGGATCCAGTCACTGGATCCAACTAACACTGGCCATGTGTCCTTGAGGACGAAATAAAGGGTTTAATTGGAAACTTGAAGAATTTACGACGGCCGAAACGTCGTAAACATGGCAATAAAGATGAGGGCAACAGTTCGAACAATGTAAATAATGTAAATAATTTCATCAAAAAAATATAGACAAAAATTACAATTTATTTAGCGGGTGCCGTATAATTATTTATCTATTATTTAAACATAAAAATGTACCAATTATTTAGACATAAATTAAAATGTTCTTCTATGCGACGTATCCCTTCAGGACGTTGGCGATCATGGCTCTTCACAATTTCCTGTCTGTGTCGCTTTTAATAAATTTTGCCTTTATCTCCTAACCCACGCTCCGCCATCCATTCATTGAAACTCGCCAGGTAGGTTATGCTTTGATTTCTTTTGTCCCTCTTTAGGTCAGCCTTGTGAGTATCAAATTTTCCAAACCCTCTTTCTTCATTATGTGCCCAAGAAATTTCAACTGTTGCTTCCTGATTTTAAGCATAAATGGTCCTTTTGTTTCTACTGTCTTTAGAACTTCATTGTTGCTCACTCCATGATATTTCTGTTGTTTCAAGTCTCTTTATTAGTCCTGGGTATGACGATAAACTACATCCAGCAGCAAGCCTCTGATCGAGAGATTGGAGTTTTTGAGGCGTGTAGAACCACCTCTTAATTGCTGTTGTTCCCAGGTCCACCTTGATCCGGGATGGTAGCACCTGCAAGGGCCACAGCTATGACCAAATAAAAACAACATTATGAAAGTATAAAAATACATTGTTATAGTAAAAATACCAGCAATTCCTTTTTATATAAAAAAATTACCGATAATACCTATTTATAGTAAAAATTACCAACAATACATTTTTAAAGCAAAATGACCAACAATACATTTTATCTGTAGTTGAAGGCATCCAGTTGTATTCAAAATATTTGGATTTCGGCATTAAATAACACATAGAGTTTGATATACCGCTAAACAAAATCAACCATCCAACTCTTCTTCATCTGTGAGGAGATTGTACATCATTCACTGCTTTATAGAAGCATTGATATTAGATAACAGTTCAATTCAAATTTTGAATACGGCTTCCTTACTTTCTTTTGTTTTATTGCTTACAGCTTAATTAAATATACTGACTCAAAGAAAAAGCAATAAATTTTCACTTTGAAAATGACTGGTATGAAGAATTCTGAGATGATGAAATAGTTGAATGCTTGCAGAAAAACTGTTTTTAATGTGTTGAAAAGATTACAAGAAGAGCCAGCAACTTCATCCAATAAAATTCAAGGAAGAAACCGTTCACCAAGAATGTCATTGGAGCCGCCAAGAAGAGGACGAAGAGAAATTCACGAAGACTGTAAATAAAAAGAAAAGAATACAATAGAAGACTCGGCAGTATCGGGAATAGAATCTATAGTATTTAAAACAATACAAAGTCAAGGCGCGAAAAATATAATGAAAACCTCCCGAAACAGTGCCCCAAAAGTTAAAATGACTACAAACGCAGGTATAGTGAAGAACTCAAGAAGGAAAGAAAAGCTGAGAAAGAAAATCCTCTATAGGGTATTTAAAAGCAGACAGAAGATATTTCAAACGAACAATAAGAGGATACCTAAAAAGGGAAACAGAATCCCTTTCGTGGCAGTGCAGAATAAATGAATAAAAACAAACTACATCAAAGAAAAATAGGCACACTCTGCAAAGCAGTATATGCCACCCCTGTGGAGGAAAAACCGCATCATAAATAAATATAACAAACTTACTCTAAAGGAATATGAAATACGGTACGACAGAATAGGAAGAGTTATACACTGGGAATTGTGCAAACAACGTGTGTTCGACTTTGTAATCAATGGTATCAGCAGAAATAAATGGCTGTTGTAGAAAATAAAAAGAATATATATACGATACTTTGTGACGGATAATCCTGCAGTGTTTGGAGTAAAGGCAAAATCCTTAGTCACCTATACCCATACACTAGTGACGTGGAAATAAAAAGGGGTTTTTCATTCCTCTTCCCGAAGAGCAAGTATAGGATTGTGATCTGAAAGACTGTAAAACGGATTTTCTTATTTTTAATTTTTGAACGGTATTATTTTTTGGTTTTATTTCTCTCTCTCTCCACACACACACACACACACACACACACACACACACTGCATTTCTAATCAACTCCCAAATATTTGGGCATCTCACCTCGCTGGGTCTTTTTTTCAGACAAGCAATCTGGCTTTAGCTTCCCAAGGTTAACTGTTGATGCGTTAACCGTTATTGCTGAAAGGGTCTGTTTAGCTTTAGATAAGAATAGCGAATCTTGATCTGTTACTTTAAATATCTAGAAGGCGTTTGAAAGAGTTTGACATGCTGGTCTTCTTCACAAGTTGAAAGGTTATGGTATTTCTGATTAAATTTTCGTTTCAATCCTCTTTATCAAATCGCGAAATAAAAGTCACTCTTTTAGATCTTTTTGCATTAATGCGGGTGTTTCCCTGGGCTCTATCCTTGCACCTACGTTGTTCCAAATTTTCATCAACGACATTCCCGACGATACCAGTTTTCAACTTGGTATCTATGCTGATGACTGTTTACTTCTGTCATAATGGTAAGTCTTATCGGCTTGGTAAGCTCAAATCGCAGCTGATAAAAAAAAAACAAACAAAAAAAAACTGACCTACACTCTGTTGTTAACTGAGGCAAGAAATGACGTTAATTTTAACGTTTTCAAAACGAAACCGATCTCTTCTAATAATCTTAGAGAACTTTTTTTTGCCTTCCATGGCTGATGCTGACCTCCAAGGGAGTGACTCCTTGATCCTTTTCGGGCTAATGTTTTCCAGTGGCATGATGTGGAAAGATTATATTGAATCAACTACTAGGTCTGATGCAAGAAAAGTTGGTTTACTGTGTCATATATTTTTTTTATCAGAATCCATCTTAAACATTTATAAATCTACCATTAATCCGTACATTGAATATTGCTGTCACATCTGGTCTGGTGCTTCTGCTATGCATTTAGAGACTCTTGATAAAATCCAAAGAATTTGCAATTTTATCGGTCTTGACATGGTATCTCGGCTTCAGTCATTTTCTCACTACCGTAAGGTATTTTCGCGGTTACGAAACCTTACGAATGTAAGCGTGGATTGGCAGCTAGGTTTCATCATTTTACAGTTTAAATGACTAGACGTAACCGTAACTTCTACTCTAACAGTTTCTTTTCACGCACTTCTCGCTTGCGGAACTCTCTTCCGGCTTCTTGCTTTGCAGTAAACTTTGATCTTCAAAAATTTAAATGCAATGTCAATCGTTATCTTCCTTCTTCGTAATTTTTGTTCTTTTATTGTTCTCTCTTTTTAATAATATTTTCTTTTTCTCATATTCTTTCACACTCAGTAACCACTTGTGTCTTAGGGGCTTTATTGTCTTGATTGAGGTGAAATGAATAAAAAAATGATTTGTTCCACAGTCTTGTCGGTTTTCTCGTCTTTGTTACACCGGCTTTCCATATACGAAAAATATATTTGTGTACCCATAGGAAGAAGTGTATTCATGCCAGGGTAGTCATTCAAAAAGGCAAAGAGAGCCTGTCAAATTTTAGGTTGGGACAAAAAGAAAGTGAAAAATTGAGAAAATAATAAGACCTTCAGTTGAGAAAATTATGGAAAAAGAAGGCGCATTTGGTATTGTGCTACAAACATGAGAAGCGAGATTATGTTAATTAGAAATTTGAGGAAACGTTAAAAATGTCTCGATCATGGATTTGCAAGTGCATGCGGGGATACTGAGAAAGGAATTGGAAATTTGAAAGGGCTTGCTTTTATTCAGATTGAAAATGTGAAAATACAAATGCGTGAAGCATATAATAATAGTAGTGATTTTCCAAGCGTAGCTCAGATGTGGCACAAGGCCGAAAGAATGGAGCAGCCAGTGAGGATCAAACTCACTACTCAGTCGTAAAATTTCTAGCGAGACAAGCTTGCTAACCATTACACCACCTCGCGGTGCTAAAAGCGATTTTCTAAGCGTCGCTTAGATGTAGCCCAAGGCCGAAAGTATGGAGCACCTAGTGAGGATCGAACTCACCACTCAGTCGTAATTGATCTAGCAAGACAAGCT